CCCCCCCGAGAATGACCACATGCAAACAAACTCCGGGTAGCAGAGTCCCCTCAGTGTGGAATGCAGCCCAGCCCATCTTGCCTGCTGCCACTCCAGTCACCAGGAATACTCGCCAAGTCTCCAGAATGTGGTGAGCAAAGGGCCATTGTGATGTTTCTATAATCCGTGGAGAGGCAGCCCCGTGACCTCAGCAAAACACTGGGCTGCGGCCTCCCTCTTCGCTGCAGAGCGCGGTGCACAATTAGGGCACCGGCCTTGTGACCACAGGGAGAGCGGCTGCGGAAGCACAGCCCTGGGGCCCGGGGGCACACAGCCCCTGCTCCTCAGGAACCCACACCAGCAGCCGGGGGACGGCTAACTCCGTGTGGTTTTCGAAAACGGACGCCTGAGCGTGAGGCGGTCAGAAACCCAGGAGGAATCAGGTCACGCTCGCACACCAACACCGTCCGCCCAGGACGGTGGTGCTGTCCCCACAGACATTCGGCTCTTGCACAGCAATCGGCCAGAACAGTCAGGGAGCAGCTGCCAACAAGGCACAAAGCTGTCGCCCTCGGAGGGAGATTTACGTGAGCCAGCTAGAGAGGGCTAGAAGGTGCAGACCTTGGCTCAGCTGCGGGTGGGTGGCCCTGACACATGCACGGACACTGTGCTGTCCTTCCTGGCCCCGCTGGCATTCCTGGCAGAGGTCTTCTTTGCCGAGAAGGCAGTGTGGGTGACCTGACGCTAAGTGGCTCAGGCGGTACCGCATGTCAGCTCTCCCCAGTTGCAAACGGCTGCAGAACATCCTGTGGGCAGACCGCGTTATACCTGGCGTCCCGGGGACTGTGACCAGGAATTCTGCCAAGGCCGCCCATACGAAGGCGATAACGTTTACTTGGGTGCATTGGTAAGATAACTCATCTGGGTTCACATCCTGACCCCACCAGGGGCTGTGTGACCTTGGGCAGGTTCCTTACGTTTTCTGAGCCTCAGTGCAACTTAAAATGGGAGTCCTGCATTGCACTGCTGCTAAAACACATTTTCTCTCTCACTTCAACACCTTTAAAAACAGGATGCTTCTTATAACCGGCAGTGTCAGAACTTAATTGTGGCAAGTTGTTTTCTTTTTAGTGGTTCGTAAGACAACGGCGCGGGTAGCACTAATGATGTCTTAAGAGCTGATAAAACGTGGAAGTAAACACCTTCCAAGGCTGTTCTGAGGGACTAGGGCAGGAGCTGGCAAAGAGGGGTCTGTCCAGCTGTCTGAGCTGAGTGCTGGACGACCGTGGCTGGTTGAGGCGTCGGGGGACGCGTGGCCCGCTCTCAGGCGGCTCTCTGCTATAAACCCACTTCTGGCGTTGGGCGGAGAAGCAAGGGAAGGCAGTGACGACAGGGCCAAGCGGGCGGTGAGGTCCACAAGTGACCTGGACTCTGCTCTGCCCTTTTACCACAGGCAGTCTGCTCCCCCAGCTGACCCCAACTTCCGTCTCTAATCCGTGGTCAGGAAGCTGACCCGTGAGGCGGGCGGGCCTGGGGTGGAGCCCTGAGCAAGCAGGCGGCACTGGGATGCTAACTGCCTCGACCGCTCTCCCGTTCAACCCCCGGTCACACCACGGATCTTCATTAAATTAGAAGGCGCTAAGGTACTAATTACAGCAAAGTAAACCTCCTTGTTCTTTAAACTCTCCCGACTTTTAATCGTGACCACAGCTACGAAATTAATGCGGCTGCAGACGCTACACCGTGTCTCCCCGAGGCCGGCTCGGTTGGCAAATTCCTACGACCAGAAGTAAGGGGTGAACTTGGAGACAGCAGGCGCGCTTTGGGGAGGTGCAGGTGCGCCTGGAAGGACCAGATTACAGCC